TTTTCCAAACATCTCGTGAATTACGAGATGATAGTGCATTTTCCATAAAAGATTTGCATGCTGAACGTATTTCAACCTTTAATGCATCCCTTATAGATCTATACAAACACCACGAGTCTTCCAATTTTGTAGAGTGTGCTTCCTCTCGCAATTTATCTCTCTGTAATTTTAAGTTCTCAATATTGGGCGTTCTTATCCAAGGAGCAGGAGGACGAGTGAAGTGAGTTCTTATAAGAGGACAGTGCCGTTCTAGGCAAATTCACTGAACGTTAAGTGATAATTATTTTGTTCTTTGTCCAAATTTTATTTATGTCCACAAATTGGCTTATTGTCTATAAAGTTTAACAGTCCAATATCTTAATTTTTACATAGACATGAACATAGAACAAAATAATTATCACTTGACGCCATGGCTATTGATAGCCAATCAAAAATCTGAATTTTTTATAAATAAAAGTGTTATAATTACATCATTTTCTACAGTAAGCACAGATTTTATTGCATGTTATGTTGGTGCAAATAAATTAAGAAATAATAATAAAATGCATGCACAATCAATTACAATTTTTGCAATTACAGTTGTCACATATATAACAGGGAACGAAATTGTGGAAAATACCTATTAACATACTATATATATATCAAGGGTCACTAGTACTGATTGAAAAGGTACAGTTAACATTATTCATGTAATATAAACCTAATAAATATCTTACCAAGGGGATTGGCCTTCGGAAAGAATCCAATGGTTTAACTTGGGTATTTGCTTCCAAGTGGAACTTGACAATGGATCTGGCAGACTGCTACCTTCCAACGAATCACCATTCTGTGCAATTGGAGACAAACCATTATCAACTGTCGAATTAGAAGGTATATATGAATATACACAAACACAAAACAGACCTCATAAATTAGATCCCCATGATTGTGAAAAGTATCTGACCAGCTTAAAATACTTGCCACCTGCAGAAAATACCTGCTACCCACATACAAAATGTGCAACCCATGACAATTAGATTATCTCCTAAAGAAGTGTTATGCGGTGATTGAGTATTGAGCTATAAACCAATGTTGATATTCAAATTTTTGATTTCCTCATTAATCGTAGGAGGCCTAGATGATGGCAAATGCTTAAACAAAGTCATGAATTTTCTGCAAGGTTGTATGGGAGACAATTTTCTATCTTCATTGTTGTTTTGGGTGGCCTTGGCTTGGCAGTTCATTTAAAAAAGCAATAAAACAAGTTGATGGAGTGCCCTTGATTATGGCATATGGCTCACCATATTAATATTAGTGCATGGAACATACATGGTATAAACCATAGAACGTTTGGAAACAAACTTCTTAATGATGATTTCTTATACCATGTAAAAGACCATGATTTTATATTTTTAACTGAAACATGGTCAGTTAACACTAACAGCATTCCTGGTTTCAAGGCTATATCCACATGTACTGCAAGGCCAAAATCTAATTCTGCCTGCCGTATATCTGGTGGTATTTCTCTGTTATTTAAAACAAAATTTCAATCAATGGTCACTACAGAGAAGTTAACCAAAAATTTTCTGTGGTGTCGCATTGATAAATCAATATTTAACTCGTCAAAAGACCTCTTTTTATGTGGTGTATATATTCCCCCTATAAAATCACCATACTTTGATGAAGAAATATTTGAAAATTTAGAGACCGATGTATTGCATTACTCGCAAAAAGGAAATGTAATGCTACTAGGAGATTTTAATGCCCGAACTAGTAAACTTGAAGATTTTATATCCAAGGAAGGAAATACATTTATAAATGATATAACAGAAAATTCTTGTATTCCTGCAAAAAGGAACAATTTTGATGGTATAGTTAATGAACATGGTAAATGCTTAATTGAGCTATGTAAGAATTGTAATTTAAGAATTCTGAATGGTAGAACCCTTGGTGACTCCCTTGGCAAACCAACTTATCATGGAAAAAATGGCATAATTAAGTCTAGTCGATTATGCAATTTGTGATCAAGATTTTACACAAATAGTTGAAAACCTAGTTGTAGAACCTCCAACCTACTTATCTGACCATTCTCAAATTTTGACTTGGATTAAAACAAAACAACCAAATAATCAAAACTCTACTGATGTCACAAATATTGCTACCCCTAATATTCAACATAAGCTCCCTTTGCAATTCATGTGGGAAAACAACTCAGCTATTTTATTTAGAGAAAGCTTGCAATCATTAGAAACCCAAACTAAACTTAATCAATTGATTAATTCTCCCACTCCATTATCGAAAGAAGGAATAAGTGGGTTTGCATCAAGAAGACCATCCCAAATTGGATTTCAATCTGGTCACAGAACTGCTGACCATATCTTCACTTTAAAAACACTTTTTGATAAACACATGAGCACAAACAGAAACAACAAAGTTTATGCATGCTTTGTGGATTTTAAAAAAGCGTTCGACTCAGTATGGCATGAAGGCCTATTTTTTAAACTCCTTGAAAACAAAATTGATGGAAGTTTCTTTAGACTGATTAAAAGCCTCTATGCAAATTCGAAATGTGCAGTCAAGCTATCTAAATCAAGAACAGAATTCTTTTCATACTCTAGGGGTGTATGCCAAGGATGTGTACTAAGCCCAATTCTGTTTAATTTATACATTAATGAGCTAGCAACAATATTTGAAAATACTAACTCAGACCCATTTATCCTTCCAAACGGCACTAAACTGAGTTGTCTTCTATATGCTGACAACTTAATAATATTATCAAAATCAAGATTTGGACTTCAAAAATGCCTTGAAGAACTTCAAAACTGGTGTAATAAATGGCTGATGGAGGTAAACCTCAAGAAAACAAAAATCATGATCTTCAAAAAAGGGAATCCAAAAATGATTAAACCAAATTTTATGCTAAATACCAAAAATGTCGAAACAGTAAATGAATATTGCTATTTAGGTATTAAATTAAATTCAAATGGCACTTTCACACTGGCTCAAAAACAACTGAGCGAAAAAGCACTACACACATTAGGCAGCATACGAAGACACCTCAACCTACATTACCTTAATCCTAAATTAGCTATCAAGATATTTGAAAGCATAATATCACCCATACTCCTATACAACTCAGAGATATGGGGTGCTTATCTCAAAAATGATTTCAACAAATGGGATAAGTCACCAACTGAGAAGGCCCACCTACGGTTCTGTAAATTATACCTAGGTGTAGGAAAAAAAGCTAGCAATATGGCTTCGAGAGGAGAACTAGGAAAATTCCCTCTACAAATTAGTATATACAAACGATTATTCAACTATATAGCACACTTGAATTCATTACCTGAAACAGCAATTGCAAAACAAGCTTTCTTAATATCAAAAGACCTATACTCGAATAATAAAATGTCCTTTTATAAAAATGCTATGGATATTTTAAAACACTACAAATGCCACTCGCAAATAGTGGATTTAGAATCAATATCTGCTCAATCATTAAATTCTATCATTGACACTGTTAAACAACGTTACATTACATTCTGGAAACACCAAATTGAACACTCGTCCAAATTATATTTCTACTCAACTTTCAAAAAGGAATACCAATTAGAAAAGTATCTTACCGTAATAAGAAACACAAACCAGAGGAGATCACTGACTCGATTCCGAATAAGCAATCACAAATTAATGATTGAATGTGGTAGATACCACAACATTCCCCGAGAAGAACGAATATGTAAGCTTTGTAAATCAAACGAAATAGAAAATGAGGAACACTTTCTTATTTCATGTGATGCCTACGACAATATTAGGCAAGACTTCCTCACTGTTCTCGCCAACAATACATACCAAAGAGAACAAAATCTATCAGTTGACATATTAAGGTCAACTGAAAATGAAACGATTCTAAAACTATCCAAGTTTGTTCTTTCCTGTTTCGAGCTAAGAGATAAACGCCTTGAGACCAGGGATGCTGAACACTAAAGTTCAATATTATCGTATTTGACCTCTATCTTGTAAATAGCTTCTTTACCTTATTGTAATCTTGTAATAGGTCGTATTTAGCCTGTAGTAGTTAACTTTAGTCTGTATGTTTAATTATTGTAGTTAAAGCTTTAGCAATACCTGTAACTGTTGGTCATGCTAATAAAGTTATTATACCACCGATTTCCACAAAATCCACAGCCATTGAAATTGCTATGGCATTAATTGGAAAAATCAGAGAATATGGCTCACCAATTTCCACAAAATCCACAGCCGTTGAAAATGCTATGGCATTAATTGGAAAAATCGGAGGCAGATAAAATGTCATACAGATGTTTCTTTCAACTTAGTGTTGATATACCTAAATATTTAAAGTGACAACTGCTTTGTGACAGCTACTTCAAAAGCAAAATGAAAATGAAGATAAACATGCAAACTGCCTGATTCTTTATCCAGTTATTCTGTTCAAGTCATGACATGTGTTCAGATTCTACTTTTGCTGGAGCAACACAGATTGCTTGCTGAACAAAGCAATTCCATTTTGGTGGGCTAACCTGCAGCCCCAAGAAGGAAGATTTCTATTGGCTGAGATCCTTTCGAAGCAATTAATTATTAATAGTTTATAATTTCTGATCAACTTAATTGGCAGGAAACAGGTTGCGTGCTGGCCGGTGTACCTCACCTTTGCCTCATCTGCCTTTCCGGTATTTCACAGTAACACTGTCTTCGACACTGGATGACATGTTAGTATTAAATTTACAAATGTAGCATTATACGGACGTTATATGCAGACATGTATCAAATGTAGCAGTGTAGCAGAGGAGGTTGGCCACGGCCCGCAAAGGCTCATGGGTAGATTTCTTGTGATTTAATTTTGAAGTTCATTTGCATTTTGACCTTCATCGAGAAAGGAACAGGACATGAGAAATTATAAAATAACTTCGTTAATTGCAGCCGTATTGAAGCACGCACTTGTGCATTATTTTGTTTCATTTGTCGCTTGTTTTTTGTCTGGAAGCCGACGGTGTTCTTAAATGGGTATTAACGGCCTTCTTGGCTTTCTTCGTCCTATAACCAAGGACTCGTCTATACAAGTGTATACAGGGAAATCGCTTGGAATTGATACGTCTTGTTATCTTTACAAAGGTGCATATTCTTGTGCTACAGAACTGGCCCTTGGAATACCAACGAATAAGTAAGTACATATGTTTTACAACTCAAAATCATTAAATATTAATGAGTGTCGCCGTATGAATATTCTTGTTGCTCATTGAATGAGTCATTGTGTATTCAAAATATTCAATTTCAATGAGTGTGTGGAATTGTGTTTTGTGTGATACAATATAAAGAAGTAAGTCGTATTTGTATTTACTAGATACATCGACTACCTAATTCAAGTTATAAGGCTTCTGCAAGCCAGTGATATTAAACCTGTTGCGGTGTTTGATGGAAACAAACTCCCAGCAAAAAGCAATGTGAACCGCTCTCGTGAAAGGTATAGTTTCAATAATTTATATAATAATAATATTAGTCATTGTGACCAAAACATATCTTTCTTCATATTGATATTCAGTATTGTATGTGTAATGTTATTTCTTATAGTACAAGAAAAGATACATTAAGAAAGGGTAAAGCCCTCTGGTATTCCAACGACAAAACAGCAGCTGCTGGATTCTTCCAAAAGGCCCTGAAAGTGACATGGAATATGGTTTTAACCACAATTGAGGTATTCAAATTATAAATTTTATTAATAGAATGGGCATTGGCATAAAAATGTATGTTGATTTGGTAAAAGAGGCGTTTAAGTCTGTTCTGTGCATGTGCTATTACCTATGTGAGATCCTGATATGATCAGACATATGTAAACAATGTTGAAATTTGTTTCATTGTTGTTTCGACATCTTCTAAATCAGAAACTCTATCAATATTTATTTGCAGCAAACCAAAACACATCGTATTTTTTAAATATAGCGTGAATTGTAAACAAACTGACGTCAACCTGTTTGTTTACATTTGGACTTGAACTCCATGTGCTATAAATCACATCAAGCACATGCA